AAAAAAAAAAAGGCAGTTTTTTACTGAACTTCAGTTTTTGTTGTTTTTCTTACATGGGTTAAAATAAGAGGCCGTAGACACAATGGGAAAAGTCTGTAGGGGCAGGATTTCTGTGGGTACTTGACCTTTGCTAGTAAGCTTTGGTTGGTGACTTACCAAGTATAATTACTTCCTAGACTTTGCTATTCGACCTTGAGTATATTAAGAACCCCCTTCCGTGTCCTGTTAAAGACTTTAAAATCCTATATTCTGTCATTTGTACTGAGAAATATGATGTTCTTCCTCTTTGTTTTGTGACTACTTGAAATAAGATCTATGAGCACTAAATTGTCAGTGTTCTCCTACTTGGCTTTTCTTTAGCATTTGCATTTTATGTCCTTATGTCAGTATAGTTGGTTGAGGTTGTGAGATGGCAATGGTAAGGCTTTAGCCATAAAAGACAATTGTTAAGCTTTAAAGCAAGAGGAGGAGAAAGTTCCCTGTTGGCGGCTGTCCTTGCATTGTGCAGCGGCTTCATTCTCTCACCCTCTAGTCTTAAGAGATATGGGGATGTTCTTGATACTGAGAAGCTTGAGGAGCTGGAAGCGAGTGGTGTGTCTCTTGCTGTATAGCTAGTTAGCAGAGAATCTTTGCACTTACCTTTTTCTGGTTATCTTGACATTTGGAAGTGGCCTGGTTTGGGGTTGTGGAGAGAAAGAAAGAAAGAAAGTAGAAAAGACCATTTTCCTGGAATGAAAAATTCCTCTTTCTTTAAGTAGGAGTTTAGAGTGAGCTGGGACTGATGGGGAAGAATCTTCAGTGTTTCTTCGGCTGGATGTAGCCAGTGACCATAAGTTACTGATTCACTAAATGAGCTCTCCTGTAGGGTATAAGACCACATCTAATTCCAGTTGTCTAATATTTCCAAAGATAAACCAATATACATTCATGACAAAATTTTATATCCAGGAAAATTAGAGAAAGAAACACTTAAATCTCTACCATCTAGGCTGCATTTTGGTGCATTATTCTCCATTCTTTTAGGTTTGGGGGTTGGTTGGTTTGTTTTCTTGCTATGGGAGTGTATGCCATATTACTCCTTAATAGTGGTGACCTTAAAAGATACCTTTTTGTACTTTGAATGAAAGTATTTGAAGGAGACAATTTTCACTTTTCATGCTGTGTTTGTTTTTTGAGGTTATAAAAGTGTACACATTAACATAGTTAATGTAGAGTATACACATGAATACTGAACAGTTTAAGAAACACCTGAGAGTTTAGATATAGTTTAAACATTTCTTGAAGGAGAATTTGGTCCTCCAAATAGTAACACTTCTCAAAAATATAACATCTAGTATTGTTTGTTAATAAGGAATAAGAGACTTTGCAGTAGAAACATCTGAAAGAAACAAAGTGGGGTGAGATGGTAGGGTTTTTCTGACTATTGGCTACCCGCAAGTTTTAAATACTGTGTCCTTTTAAAAGCAACTAGATCTTCTCCTTCCCCTGTCATTCACGTATTTTGGGGGATACTGATGGGAGAATGTGACAACATGTTGAAAACTTACATTAATAGGAAGAAGGAAGGCTCATCTGAATTAGCTTTTTAAAAAGCATTAAAATTGCTGGTATTGTGCGGTTTTTAAGAATCCTGCTGTTAATTTCAACTATTCAGTGATGGGGATTTGGTTATTGGCATTATTTTTAAAGAAGAAAACTATCTTACCCGAGTTGAGGTGGTTTTTAGTATTTGACTGTTACTCTCTTTGCAAATAAATGGATACTTCTAAAGTGTTTTAAAGATAGTTTAGAGGGCTCAAAAAGTTCATTGTCACCTCTCGGATACTGCTGCAGATAAATTCTCACTAATTTGTGTCTGTAGTAAGAGTTACCTTCCAAATTATTACTGCTTTTAAATAATAGTTTGTCAAAGGCTTGTTGAACACCTGAATTTGTCCCACGTTCTATGCTGAGCAGCTGGAGGTAGGAATGAGAGTCCCACCTTCCCTGGAGAAACTTGCTTTTTTTATGAGGGGACCCTGCGAGCTAATTATTATCATGTAACAAATGGTGAATCAGATGGTGAGATGGAGCAGCGTACAAGAAGGGATGAGTGTCATGGTGTGGCTGCTGGCGAAAGTGTCCCCCAAGGTAGATGGGCTCAAGCTTGCTGAGACAGGAAAGAAAAGGCATTCCAGGCAGGGAACAGCTAGAATAAGGCAGGAAAGTGCCATGATGTGTGTCAGATAATTTATAGAATAAAATTAATAAAATTTCGAAATGAATAGAAAGTATTCTCTGAGGTTCTCATTTGGGTCGCCAAGACTGTAATGGCAGTCTCATTTAGACAGGAAATGAAAGTTAAATTCCCAAAGTTGTTTGTGTCATTGTTCTTTGGCTGTGAGAAAGTCCTAAAGCGATGCTCTTTTTATCCTCCACGTACTGCAACAGGCCCAGAGAGAACTCCAGCCCCTAACTTGTTGGTGATTGAGCAGCCCTGGCACGCAGAGCCTCTGTCTCTAAAACATTTGTTTCATCCCACTGTCGCCTGAACTAATACATTTAGTATTAGTAAATTAGTAAATTTAAAACTAGGTTTTCATGTACTGTGATAAAACGCTTTCATGCCAGTATTATTTAAGGCATCACATTTTATTCTAGTAGATGAATAACAGAAAATCTCAGGTATATTTTATTGAGAAAAAAACCCACTGAAACTCTTACTTTAAACATTAATTGTAAACAGAATTCATAATAGATACTTGCCAGCTTTGAGCATAGGGACCATCAAGGGCAGCACTTTATAACCCATTCCTCAGATGTTATCTGTGGAAGTTGAGAGCCTTCGGTGTGTTCCCCGTAGAGCCATACATGATATACCACACTCAGGCAGTTCATGGAATGTGAGAAATATCTTAATGCTTTATCGTTTGACAATTTAACCAAGGAAAAACCACACCTTTATAGGTTTAACTTACTGTGACATTTTCTTCTATTTCCCTTCCCCTTCAGGTATCTCCAGGGCATCTTACTAAAAAGTATAGCTCATGCTCAACAATATTTCTAGATGACAGCACAGTCAGCCAGCCTAATCTTAGAACCACAGTAAAATGGTGAGTACAACTAGGCTGCCAAGAGCTGAGTGACAGACCCCCTTATGCTAAAGGCATCCCAGCCATCCTTAGTCATTTCAGCCATTTGGTTGTCCTTTTCAGTGATCAGTTTAAGAAATTGGTGTCAACTATATATTGATTTCAAGGACCTAGGTATGAATTTTCACTTTCTATTTTAATCTTAGACTGCATGGTGGAAGGGAAAGCCAGTTAGCAAAGAAGCAATCCCAGAAAAAGTGTAGCTCTTTATTTGATGCATTTATGTTAAGGCAATGTTGAACATAATGAAAAGGAGGAGGTGCTTTTTTATTGGCTGTTTCTAGAAAATAGTAGTTCCTTATTAGTCACTGTTCCTTAAAACAGTGTGTATGTACCACTTTGGAAACTACTCTTGGAAGATGGATCAGCTTGCCCTGTGCTGGCACTAGAGTGCATCTACATTTACATGAGCACCCATAGTCCACAATAAGAGATGCACTTTCGAAACACTGAGATGAACCTTTCAAGTTTATCTAAAAAGGAAAACCTAACTCCATTGGGTTGTCCAGGGAACATTATTAACATTTCTTTGGATTACAAGTGTTTATTTTCAGAACATAGTTTGGGAAATGCTACTTTAGCATATTAACGTCCTCATCCCTAATTTTTTTCAGTCTTAAAACATAACTAGCTTATAGAAACTTTAGTACTATTTCTAATATACTAGCTTTTTTAGATAATTGAAGTGTCGGAACTTCTTTTAATTAAAAATGGCAGGTTTACACTCATCATAATGTCACTTTCCTATCTCACTTGTAACAGTAGTTGGGATCAAATTGTGTTTCACCAAAACCTAGACCTCAGTACTGTCTAAAGTCGTAGTCTTTGGCACCTGTTAAGTAATCACTAAAGTCTATATTCAGCCTTAGCCCTAAATCCATGAATACAAAAACAACTCTGTTTTAGCTGGACTCCCAAGCTTCTTTTGAATTGGAAAGATTTTAATGTTTAAGCAGAGATTAACTTTGCTCAAAAAAGTAGACTTCATGCCCCTCCCCCACTTAGTCTAAATTTTAGAAGTCTACTTTTGGAAGTCCAATAAGTTTAAATTTGTTCTCATTAAGTTTTAGAAATGATTATATGATGTATTCACTGTTGGTGAAATAAAGGTTTATTGAGTAAATCAATAGGGTAAATTGGCTTTTAGGAAAGATTTTTTAAAATGTGTAACGTGGGGTAGTAATGCATGTTCTCAATGGGATGAGTAAGCCATATTAGAATGACTTATACAACTTTTTATAAAATATATGTTTGCAAACACATGCATTTTCCAGCCTCCACCTTCCATCCATCTCTAGGCCCTCCCTAGCCTTTTAGGGAAATGGGAGAAGGATATGAGGCATAATTACATGGACAAAAGCATCCCAAGTGATTCTGATCATAACCCTAACTCGGTCATTCCCAAACTTTGCCATAGTGGAATCACCTGGTAACTTTTAAAACCATCCTGATACCCAAGTTATACCATGCCAGTTAAACCAGAATGTCTCAAGTTGGAAGTCAGGTGATTCCAGTGTGCAGCAAAGTTTGAGAACCACTGCTTGATTTGACAACAAACTGCTTCTATTGGCAGGACCGTGTGCAGGTCAGTTTTAAGCCTTATTTTCCTAATCTGTAAGATGGGTTGTTGGGGTTAATACCATATACGTTTTGGTGGTCCTTTCCAGCTTATAACTTCAAATTCTGTAGTTTTAAAATCAGTTTGGAGTCAAAACTATTTGAAGCACTATAGAAGTATCCATCTTTGATGCTAATAATATTATAGGCTTTTTAAAAAGTGCTAATATTTAATAGCTAGACCTACTTTTAAAATTCAGATTTGCCTTCCCTCAATTATTTTGAGCCTCATTTTAGGCACTGAGGGCAAAAGGAAGCTTCTGACTTACCTAAGTTTGCTAATATACATCATCTGTGGGTAACTTAGGACTTCAGGAAGTGTGTCTCAGTTGTGTATGTTCAGTAACCTTTCATTTGCACTAATTGGGAAATGGCTGCTATTAATACTCCACGGCCCAGTGCTGTGCCGCAGTGCTAGTGCTGCGTGTGTCAGGACAGCTGCACCTGTCGTGGTATTGTGTGCACGTACCTTTACTAACACATTTTCTAATAATCATGCAAAAGTGATTTTAAGTGATTTTATTTGGCATAAAGCACTTTCATTTATTTATGTTTAGGGAAATAATGACAAACAGGAGGGTAGGTGATAGTCGCTAAACAACTGAAAGGCAGAGCCTAACAGGAAACAGAGCTGCTGTAGCACTTAAATTTCAGCCTGCGCACAAATCGAACTCACCCGGGATGAAAGATTTTCTATGGGTGGAAAAGCAAATAATATAATAATCAACAGAAATCTGTCTTCTAACAGCATATTGCATAGCATTTTGGTTCTTTTGTTTTTGCTAAAAGCCAAAGAATTAAAACAAGGGGAAGTACACACACAGTACTGTTCTGAACTGGAGGATTTCAGGGCCCCCAGGAGGGCTCCCCACTACCCCCTTCTAAAAATGTCTTCACACCTAACATAATAAAATCAGTTGTTGAAAACATTTTTTTTTCCCTCCACAGTGTGACCTTAGCAATATATTACCACATAAAGAACAGGTGAGCTCTTTTAAAATGTCTTGTTATTCCAGCTAATTGCTTTGTATGATACCCAGTTTACTATTAGGTTATACTTGTAGACATGGAATGCTTATTGCAGTATTGAAGCAAATCACGTTGGGGTTTTGGGGTCCTTAAGAGTCTTCTAACTCTTACATTATTGAGGATCCCGTAAAGTATTTATTCATGTCAATTATATTGGCATACTATATTAGAAATTAAAATTCAGCATTAAAAAAATAAATTTTTTTTGTTTAGATTTCTTAGCCTTGGCACTCTTGATGTTTTGAGCAAGATAACTCTTTGTTGTGGGGGCTTTTTGTGTTCCATCGTAGGAAGGCTTCTACCCAGAAGATGCCAGTAGCAATACTCCCAGGTTGTGACAAGAGAAAATGCCCCCTGGAGGACAAACACACCCCAATCAAGAACCATATAGTTAACATAATATTTTTCACAAAAAGTAAATTTTTTTTTTTTTTTTTTTTTTTGCAGTTTTTTTCAGTTTTTGCCCGGGGCTGGGTTTGAACCCACCACCTCTGGCATATGGGGCCAGCGCCCTACTCCTCTGAGTCACAGGCGCCGCCGCAAAACTAACTTTTTTTCTGCAACAAAAATGGCGAGTAAAAAGTGTCATTTATTTACGTTTTTGCAAATCTCTAATGTCTGGCTTAATAGGAGACAGCTGGATTCTCATCTCTGTCTTTGCCATTTGTTTTGAAGAAGCAGAAAGACAACGACCTCGCCGTATACAATTTATAGTTAGGAAAAAGTATATTTTTAAAGCTTTCAGGTAATTATAGATATTCTTTCATACTCCACCAAAACTCCACATGCATCAATCTTATGAAAAAGTCTTTTAAGTATTGAGAAGCGGTCAGGCTCACAGTAGGAGGAATAAGTTTTCCAAAGTCCTGATTTTTAGCTTAAAAGCTTGAATTTTATCACTGGCAACAAATACTTGTTATAATATTTTCCTTGAAGCAACAGGCTTACTTTGTTAATTTTTGAGATGATTGTTGTACTTTCAAATAAAAATTGGGTTCCTTGAAAAGAAGTGGCGTGTCGGTTCACAATAAATCACAAGTGTTTTTCCTTAATACAACCATATTTTAGTCTGTAGAAATGACTTATGTGAACTTCCCACTTACTCATAATATTAAAAATAAAAGTCAAGATTTAATAATACCATTAAGTAGTACCATTAATTTTTATTGTTACATCAAGGATATTTCCAAGTAAAGCAAGGCTTTTTTTTTTTTTTTTAACTGCGAGGGGCAGTGAAGAATGCATAATTTGGTACCACTGCCTTTATTCATGCTAAAAAACTAAGTTTTACCCATGTTCACTTTTATACAATCATTGCAAATGTCTTTGAAAAAAGCAAGCAAAGTCTTAGTATTCTTACAAGAATAGTTATAAATTCATGGGTCTCCTGGTCTAAGGGAGGTTGGTAGACCACACTTGGAGAACCATTGTTTTAAATGAATAGGGTATATTAGTTTTATAAATTCTAAAAGTTCATCAAAAACTGGTATTTTTTTAAAATGAAGAGGAACTAAGTTTTTAACTCAAATTGATTAAAAGAAATAAATACAGAAGAATATAATATAGAGCACTAAAGTGAGGGAAAACGTAGGAAATCAAATCTCGTGTTAACATCCATTACAGTTCTAAAGACTTAATTGCCTTACACTACTATGTTGTAAAGAGTTTTTGGTATTCCAGTGTGAGATTAAAAAATAGATTTGGTTTGTTACTATTACCTGTTAGGGTCATGGTAGCTGGTCATTGTAGAAGACTGCAGAGTACAGGATTTGAAATGCTGAGTAAAAGAGGTCAGGAACCCTCAGAAGGCCAGGATCCAGGAGGAGAATTTGTAAAACTATTTGCTTTGTTGAAAGTTAGGCATCTCCCTCCACTCCCTACTCCCCCAACTCCCAGCAAATATTTTACTAAGTAACTAAGAATTCCTGAATTAATTTTTTAAATGCATGTTCTTATTTTATAGAGATGCAAATAGATCACTGGATATTTTTGACGAGAGGTCACATCCACTCACAGTAAGTTCCTTTTTTTTGAGGTCGTGTTTTTCTCTCAGAGTTGTGTTTATGTCATCCTGAAGTCAAAACCATTTTCCTTTAAGTCTTCTTCCCCACCTCATGTTGTACATAATCATCTTACAAAAGAGGTATAATAAGGATATACTAAGAACGGACTTGCAGCTTTATTTAGTGAGCTAAGATGAGTAAATGTACTATTCAAATAATAGCAAATTATTTTTTAAAAGATAATTTTCAGTAGCACTGAATAATATAAATATCAATAGTTCTAAAATATGCATGATCGCTTTTAGGAGAATTTGAAAATAATTTATCAATTAAAATGGCAAAAAAAGAAGTAAAACTTCACTTCCTCAGGTGCATAGTAGCTGCTTTTGAGTGCGTACTAGCCACATATGGCCAGTGACTATTGTACTGGATGGTGCAGGCTTAGAGCAGCTGTCCCAGCCTTTTTGGCACCAGGGACCATTTACATGGAAGACAGTTTTTCCATGGATTGGGGGCAGGGAGAATGGGTTCAGGATGGTTCGAGTACATTACATCTCCACCTCAGATCATCAGGCATTAGATTCTTATAAAGAGTTCACAGCCTAGATCTCTTAGAATCGCAGTTCATAGTAGGGTTCACTCTCCTGTGAGGATGTAATGCTGCCACTTGTCTGACAGTGGTGATGCCAGCAATGTGGAGCGGCTGTAAATACAGATGAAGCCTCACGTGTCTGCTTCTCACACTCCCAGATCAGGGGTTAGAGACTGCAGACTTAGAGTCTTGTGGTTATAGGAAACTAAACATGTGTTTTCAATGTGTGCTACAGAGAAGCCTGACATGATCATGAAGACTTGTAAGCCTAAAAATAGTTTGTTTTGGTAGATTCCATTAGGGGAAGTAGTAAGGAACATAAAAATCCTCTGAGCCTACCCAGCAGCAATTTCTTGGCATACCCAATGCCAGTGTCTAATGAATGGTGATGAATATTAAATTATTATAGTTCTTTAAGATCCTAGTGTTTATATTTAAAAGACTAAAAGACATGTCACACAAAATTATTTTAAGGGATATATGGGCACAAATGTGAAAACTACTGTCTTATGAATACTAAAAAGCTTTTTTTCAATGAATACTTGTATTGCCTCTTTTCTGCTTTCAGCGAGAGAAGGTTCCAGAAGAGTACTTTAAGCACGATCCTGAACACAAATTTATTTACAGATTTGTTCGTACTCTATTCAGTGCTGCACAGCTAACAGCTGAATGTGCAATAGTAACTTTGGTAAGCTATTTCTTATTCATAAAGCATCTTTAGAAATAAAAGTAGGTTCTTGAAATTGTCATCTGAATTTTAAGAGAAATGTTATCAAAGGAAAGTAAATATATACGCTTGAATTTAATAATCATGGTTTATGTTAGTTACCATTGCTTTTCTTATCACAGAACAATTGCTGTAAAAGGCAGCAGGAGAGATTTCTGGATTCTGCCCCCACACTTCATTGCCCACATGTAGTGCTCTCTCTCTTTTCATGTTGGGGGTGAGATGGGGAGCAGCAACAAAACCATCTGACGGCGGGCCAAGATGAGTACAGTGTAGGTCTAAGCCAGTTCCCAGCTGTATTCCCCAAGCTATTCTGATGCATGTTGTGACTGAGAACTGCTGCCCGAAATTCCATGTTCCTTGGATGTGGGTGTTACGCCATCCCTGCTGGCCTCTTGTGCCTGCTTGGTTAGTTTCCAATGAATATGGTACCAGTGAGACTTGGACATAGGATTTGCTAGCTGTGCCCTGACCTTTATGTCATCCATACGGAATTCCTGTGGTAAGACTTTGTCATTTGGAATAATAAATCCTATTCAAGTTGTTTCGATTGTTTTCCTCCCTACAGCAAACCTGCAGAAAAAAATGCATGGGCTGGAGAAAAAGAATCCTTAGGTTAGTACCCCACTCCTTTAGTGTCTGTTAGAGTTTAGAAGAGGAAGCTTCCTTCTGTTGTGTACTTCAGTAGAGACCTATCAGTGGGCACTGGGTCTGACACAGGCCTTTGCATGGAGCTGCAAGCCATGAAGAATGCCCAGCAGGTGCTGGAGAAGCAAGAGTGGTGCTTCCACAAATGGAGAGAGAGGTGACGCGGGAAGGAAGCTGGATTGAGGGAGAGTCATTGGAGACAGGTGAAGCTTCATGTGCCAGGGAGACAGCAGAGTGGCAGTGTCCAGCAGTCATTCGGATCTGTGGGACTAGAGCACGAATCTGGGCTGGAAGTAAGGAATGAAGAGTGAGAACACTGTGGACATGCAGAGAAAGTGTGTGGGATGAAAGCAGACAGAAGGTAGACCTGTAAGGACTGGTAGCATTTAAGGGATAACTCCCCAGAGAAGTGGCGAAGGTGGGAGGAGAGGGGAATCAAAAGAGGCCGGAGCAGAGGCTGTGGTCACAGTGCTAATGCCGCCAAGCAGTTACTAAGTGCTGGGGCTGAGGAGAGGACAGGTTGAACACACTCCTTACCTTTATATGAGCTTATGTTCTAGTGGGGAAGACATTAAGTTTTTTTTTGTTTGTTTGTTTTAATTTCAGGTATACAAATATTTCAGGTGGGAAATACTAAGAGGATAAAACAGGGTAAAGCAATCCAGAGTGATTGGAGGGGTTTACTGTTTTAGGTAGAATGATCAGGAAGAGCCTCTAGAGAGGCAACGTCTGAACAGCAGCCTGACTGAAGGAAGGACAGTAAAGAGGTCCGGCATTCCGGGCAGTGGGACAAGTGCCAACATCTGGAGACAGAGACCAGTCGCAAGGCAGCCAGTATGGTCAGAGTGAGGAATAAGGGAGAGAAGGAGGAGAGGAGGTCACATGGGCAATGCCATAGCCCACAGGGCTGTGTGACTTGCAGGACATGGGCAGAGGCTAAGTTTTTATTCTAGTTGTGATGGGAACTTTTGGCAGATCTTCAGCAGGGGAGTAGAGTGCCTTTTTTCTTTTTTCTTTCTTTTTTTTTTTTTTTTGAGACAGCTGTTAGTGGGGTTAGAGTGCGGTGATGTCATCATGGCTCACAGCAACCTCACACTTCTGGGCTCTAGTGATCCTCCTTCCTCAGCCTCCCAAGTAGCTGGGACAGGTGTGTGCCATGATGTCTGGCTAACTTTTTCTGGGTTTGGTAGAGTTAGGGTCTCCCTCTTGCTCAGTATGGTCTGCTCCTGACTTCAAGCAGTCCTCCAGCTTCCACCTCCAAGACTGCCAGGATTATAGGCGTGAGCTACTGCACCTGGCCCATGCAGAGCTCTTAATTTAAGAGGTTATGCTGACTGCTCTGGGGAGGACAGACCATAATCGGGAGTTAGAGTGGAGGCAGAGAAGAGGGTTAGGAAGCAGATACAGTGAAAAACCTGAGCAGTGACAAGTGGCTGCTCAGAATCAAAAGCAGGCAGACTCCCAGTGAAGGAATTGTTCGTGGTTGGAGCAGGGTAACTTGTGTGGGTACTGGGCCCCAGCACCCAGGCGAATGGCGATGCTTTTTCCAGTTGGGGAGCATGCTGGGATGAAGAGCTCTGATTTGCTTTTCATTGAGTGAAGGAAGGCACTGAGGGCCTTGACGAGAGGAGTCTCGGAAAAGTGGCGGCCGCAGCAGGCCGGTGGGGTGGTTAAGGAGAGATGGGAGACGAGAAACTGGCACCATGGCGTGATGCTGTGGGCAAACAAGAAGAAAGCATCTTGGAAGTTGTAGGGAGGGATTGGGAATAGAAGAAACACATTCACCTTGGGGAACATCACTGGCAGAGGGGGGAAGTCCTCCGAAAGAGGTAATTGTCAGAACAGTGTTCTTCTGCAGGAGTGGGGTGGATTGACTGCACTGATAGAAGAGTTGGCTTTAGTGGGAAAAAGCACTGACACAGGAGGGCAGGTGGTAGCACTGAGTGTCACCATGGGACAAGTCTAATAGCAAAGGTGGCAGGAAGTTGGAGGAGTGCCAGTGTGGTTTCAGTGCTCTCTCCTGTAGAGACTGGAGCCCTGTGAGGCGTGTTCCTCAGGATGCTTGAGAATGCAGAGCTTGGAGAGCAGGAGCAGAATCTCACTAAGGACATGCTATGTTCAGTAGCCACTTGTTTTTGAAAATAGAGTTGAGTTTCAAGAACAGCCCCAGATCTGAGCTGTCAATCCAGTACTTTTCAGACAAACTCTTGAAAAAGGAAATGTTTTCCATTTACCTTAATACAGAGAGTTGAAATAGCACATATACATATTCTTCTGCAGAGCACTTTTGGGGGAACAACACATCACAGCTTACTGCTATAATCTTTGTAGGATAAATGTTTGATATATGTAAAATAGTTCATGAGATTGTCTCACAAAGTATTTAACAGATTGAGAGGGGTCCCAGGGATATATAGGACTGGCAGCTATTACCACCTGAAAACAGTCAACATCATTAACTGAGTTGGAGGTTCTATAAGAGTAGAATATGAATTTTCATGGAGTGGTAATGGAGATGTGAAAAACAGGGGCTATGAGAAGGGCCATCCTTTGTACCAGAGTGCACCTTACGCAGGTGTGGACTACGGGGAGTGTTGTACAGCCTGTGGCCTGCGCCTGGCCTGCTGCTCTACACAGTAGCCACTGGGGGGCTCTCTTGACCAGTGGTTCCTGCAGCTCATGCCACAGAAGATTAGTTACTGTGAAAAGAAGGTAAAGCACTCAGTGTTACTTGGATTTTACATATTCAAGATGGACCTCTCTGTAAAATTATCTGTTTGACAACATCTAGATAAATTGCATTTGATGGGCACGCAAGTATTTTTCGAACAAATGTAATCTACACTGGTCCTGAGTATGCTGCCTGGGCTGGAAATTTGCATGGGCAAGGCAGGCAGCAGAGGTATCTGGCCCACAACTATGATCTGACCTTTTACTTTGGGTGACTGGGCAAGGTCTCTGTAGACTATACGAACAAAAGGCACTTACTTTCTGGTCAAAAACAGAAGAAACCTGTCATTTATAACAGTTTTTATCACAGCACTTAAACTGAACTAAAATCAAAGACCAGTGCTCTACTTTTGCAGGTTTACTTAGAAAGGCTTTTAACTTATGCTGAGATCGACATTTGTCCCACTAACTGGAAAAGAATTGTTTTGGGAGCGATTCTTCTTGCCTCCAAGGTTTGGGACGATCAGGCTGTATGGAATGTGGACTACTGCCAGATCCTCAAGGACATTACAGTTGAGGACATGTGAGTTTGTAAGGTTTTGGTGAATTTCCTAACCATTTTCCATTTGCTCCCATAAAGTTAACACTTTTAGAAGTATTTATAAATGTTACAACATGCAGATAATGGAAATAGGTATAAAGGTACATACTCCTTTCTACCCAGCATAAGTATAGCAGTTAATATTTCCCATCATTAATTGGTAGGTCTTAATGTGTTATTATTGTGATAATCTAGATAAACTGAAAAGTATTTTTCTGATGGTCTTTGGCTAAACATTTTGCGAACTTGCTCCAGAACAACATAGTACAGTAACTATCACTAGGGCTTTATAAAAGCTATCTGCCAATTCCAGTCCCTTTTTAAGGGGTACTGCTCTGGCCTTTGAAACAATTGTTTGGCCTCTGTTAAGGTTTGAGGGCCTCTGCCCTAGTGAGAAGCTTCCACCTGAGTCACACATTATATGTTTGTTTTTGCTGGTCTTTCCCTGCCTTTATTTGAAGATCTGTTTGTACAAAAGTCATAGGGTTAAAAATTAAATATCCACACATCCCTGTGTTCCTGCCCCCTCCCCGTCAGGAACTTGCCTGTGATTGGAAGTAGCCCAGTGAGAAGGGAAGCTCCAGGATCCCCCCAGGCCATCTGAGCTGCATGGCCAGGGCAGAAGCCAGTGGTCACCACACTCTGCCTGGCTCGCAGGCACTTGGACAAGCACGGCGGCACTTGAAGGCCTTGAATTACTTTGAGTGTACCTGCTGAGTCACAGGGCTCCACACAGAGGGCACTGCATGGCTGTGAAACACCAACTTCACATGGCCTTCCTTCTGGCCTCCTTGATGGCTGTGAAGGAAAGGCCCCTGAACAGGGTGGGGAGGAGGAGCCAGGGAAAGACTCAGAGTGCCTGCTTGACAATGCCTTTGTGGGTGGGGTTTAGAAAGGTACCAAGGGGCGGTGCCTGTGGCTCAACCGAGTAGGGCGCCAGCCCCATATACTGGAGGTAGCGGGTTCAAACCCCACCCTGGCCAAAAACTGTAAAAGAACTATTAAAAAAAAAAAAAAGAGTACAAAGGAATACCTCTTGTTCCTTATGTTGAGCAGCATGAGAAGATGAGGAACGTGACAGGCAGTGGCAAGAATTTGTTTTTGTTGTCCATTGCTCCAGATGAGACTGTCACTCAGAATGACCAAGCTCTGTTATTTACAACTGAAGTGAGGATACCTGTGACTAACAAGGCACCAGTGGTTTTTGGTAGCTGTTGAAGCGGTGAGAATGACGACTTACGCTAATAGTGTAAACTGAGCGGCCATGGTGCTGTTGCTGGCACCCATTGTAGCACAGGGTGTAGCAGCAAATGAACTGGAAATGCATGGAGGTACTGTAGGAAGTTGCAGACACTGCAGTGACTTTGGCTGCTACTGTCATCAGTTGGCAAACTGGTCCTTGAAGGAAGCACAATTTGTCATCATGAACACTTAGCCCTGTCATTATGATAGCTGAAACTTTCTCAAACCTGCCACTAAGCAGAGGGCTCTGGTTCTAGTCATAGGATCAGAGAACGTGCAGGTTTCCACAGACGTGAGCTCCAGAAGCAGTGGTGGCAGTGCCGGCTCCCAGACCAGCTCTAAACCATGCTGTTTGTGTGAACAGAGAAGCATGGGAGCCGTGCTCCCAGCAGGCTGCTTTTGTTCATGGTCTTTGGAAATTAGAAAACACTACAACAAAGTGTTCGCTAACATTTGTCTCATCTCCCTGCTGTTGACTATTTGTAATAGTCTCATTTTGAATTTAAATTGAAAAATTAAAAAATTGATGTCTATCAGATTTTTCTTTAAATTTTCCAATATCTACATGTCTTGTTAGACTATATTTCTCTCAAAAGAATAAGTTGAACTGAGCAGCTGCTATTCAGAAAACGTGCTATCCCTGTAAAGGGTATGCTATTCAGCCATCTAGCCATTTAAACAACAGAACTCCCAGGAGATGCAAATTCTGTAGGCATCATGCTTTTCTTCAGTGATTAAACCTCTATTAATAAACATGTTAATCCTATGAAGTACTGTATTTCTACACAGTTAAAATGTATTAGTGGAAAAAATATAAAAGGGATCCTGAAGTGCATTTATTCCTGTGGCAAATTAAGTCCTGATTAGCTGATTATCAAAACATTATCTGATTTACATTTCTATAGACTTATGACCATATGAACAGGAAATTAATTTTGGAAGTAGGTTCAGTTGGGTGTTAAGTTCAACAAATGAGAAAACCACATCTCTTCTCATTTTTTAACTGCTCTCCATATAAGAGAATATCAAGCATTTGTTGACTTAGCCAGTAGATAAAATATTAAAACTTCAAAATTAAGAAACCAAATGTGTTATTCAGGCATTTATTATTTTTATACAGTTAACTCTTTATAGCAATTGTTATAAGAGTGGTAAGACTCAACTCGAATTTATTTTAACTTGTATTTATGTACGTAAACATTTGGTGAGGGCGTGTATGTTCCTGTAGCAGAGGGCCACTCCCCACCCTCTCCCCCACGTTTCCTTCTGGCCAGGGGCACTGGGCACTGGGCACTGAGCATCTCAGGGCTTCATTCCCAGCTCCAAAGAAACACCAAGTTGATAAGTCCAGTGCCCTGCTAGAGGTCATTTCATAAAGTGGGCTTAGTCTAGCTACGGCATCTATCTCTGATCTTTCTGCCTTCCGAAGTTTAAAGAGTACCTCTGCCCTGTCATGATGACAATTTCTCACCTTGGCAATCAATATGAAGGTGAGCAAAAACTTGCATTATGCCCTTTGACACAGCCTCATGGACTGGGGTGGGGGAGGGGATTCCCTTTCCCGTGAATGCAGCTTATTTATTTATTTATTTGAGATGAATCCTTGTTGCCTCAAGAGTCTTTCCCCCTCAGAGATAATAGCGGTGGCTCTCCACGGATCCATTTGTTGCCGTGGTGATGTGCCCACTCCTTTTGTTGGCGCTTCTCTACTTCAATAAGCCCCTTCCTGTTATCAGCCCGGTGAAAATGTCTGCAAGTTCTTCAGAGCTAATAAACAGCATACATCATTCCTTTCATCTGATCACTATAGTGGGGCCCTGTGAGCGAACGTGGAGTATGAATCGCACAGCTGCACTAATGGAACTCTGAAGAATGAACCCCGAGTCAGCAGCACGAGTGCATCAGAGGGCCGTAACCTTCCCCCTCATCCCAAACTCAAAGTGCTGGGATGCAGAAGGGACCACAAATAGCTGTACCTTGTTTGAGCATTAGTGTGTTAATCCAACTGGGTAGCCTTTGTTTCATAACGGAATTTAGAGCCATCCTAGTAGCTCTGAATGATATTTTTGAAGATAGCCCAGTTGACTAAAATTGTCCTGCATTGGTTTTGTTTTGTTTCTCCTCCCCCAGGAATGAGATGGAAAGGCATTTTTTGGAGTTGCTTCAGTTTAATATTAATGTTCCTGCCAGTGTTTATGCCAAATACTACTTTGACCTCCGCTCCTTAGCAGATGACAACAACGTGAATTTTTTGTATGCTCCTCTTAGCAAAGAAAGAGCACAGAACCTAGAGGTAAGGCTGTGAAATCACTTAGTGAGGTTTTCTGGCAGCCACCAAAGCCAACTGCTATGACTAAATCTTATTAAGTAGTGATAATAGGAAAACGGAAAACTTTAAAATTAACTAATACACTGAAGAACTTATGAGCCCTTTGACATATTATCATATTCCCTGTGTCTTTTATGGTTTATACAAAGTTGCACATTATTTTAAAATTTACGGATATCATCTCTTCTGTGACTATAATTCAGAATATTTTTAATCAAATTTAATCTATTCTTAACGGTTTTCCTTTTTGAACGTACCCTTCCATACCATACGAGAACAATTTCTT